CGGATGAAAATAGCTCTGACGAGCTATTTTCACTGGTGCCCCGACTACATGAATTTAAGTGTGCTACTAGTTTGGCATGTCGGTCCCACCCTTTCACTGTCGAAACAGTTAAATGTAACTGCCATTTCTACCGCAACAGTTTCTTCTCTCACACTTCCCGACAGTGTAATTACCTTCCTCTTACTTTCTTCCCTGATCACTATAATTTTTCAAAAATTTAAATGTAATGTCAATCGACATCTTCTGTTGACTTGGTCTTCGTTCTTACTTTTTTTTTTTTCTCCTACGTTCTTCTTTTTTTTTTATTCTTTCCTCAAGTTCTTTATACCCAGTCATTTTCCTTAGTTACACTCTGTATACCTCTTGCGTACTAGAGACACTCCTGCCTTGCTCGGGGTGAAATGCTTAAAAGAAAAAAAAATTAAATAAAATCTCCGGCTAAAAACGAAAACAGTGCGGAAGAAAGAATAATAATATTATTAATAACAATGATGCAAATGAAAAAAAATACGTTAAAATTAATAGAAGATTACGTGTTTTTGAGGTTATTAGAACTTCTGGCAAAATTAATATCAAGTTGAATAATCACATCTTAAATGGTAGCATTTCAAAATTTGAGCGATGCCACGTGCTTAGCATAGAATGGATTGGATGTTGATTAGCGTGCAAAATTTAAGTGTCAGCACGTGTTTAACATGAGAATATATTTGAATTAACGATCAGCATCCAAAATTTAAGAAAAGTAAAAATAAAAATAAATATATATATATATATATATATATATATAAAAAGAGATAGATTGATATAATTAAAAAAATTTAGATCTAATAACAAATAAAATAAAAATATATAAATCAAGTATATAACTAGCGCATTTATATTACAATAAATATTTATTAATAATATTTATCGCTTTTTTGCAAGATGCGATCAAATTCGTCACAATGTTATGCGAAAATTCCTGTATTTGCTCACAAAATATACATATTAAATCTATAATTAATCAAATAATTGAAAAATAAACAAATAAATAATCGGAAATTTTGTATATTGCGAATTATAGAACACTAAGTAATTGGAAATTACGGCAAAATCATATATATATATATATATATATATATATATATATATATATATATATGTGTGTGTGTGAGTGTGCGCGTGTGTTTGTGTGAGGTTTAATTGATGTTGTTTAAACGTTATTTAATGGATATTCATATTCGAGTAGAAGCACTTTTTTTTTTAACAGTATTTTTTATTCAGCTACATCTACCTGCCTGAATATTCAAAAAAACATGTGCCTTCCAGCAGGATTGGAACCTGAATCCCCTATTGTCAACCGCCTAAAAGTTGAGGTTGATAGTAAGAGAGAGAAATGTTTAATATACAGCTTCTCTCTACTAGCGTGGTGTTTCTGGTAATATGATTTACATGAAATTTCAGTGTTTTCGACCAGAATTTTTCTTAAGGGTTCTTGTAAATTGTGGGTTGATAGATGTATTTTTATAGCACTTTGATCTGATAAGCGACACCTGAGAGGTCTTCACAAGGAGGTGGTAGTATGTCCGATATAGATAAATAATATAGGACAAGAAACAGTTTTCTAGTGAGCGGTGAAATTGATGCAATGTATTGGCCATCGTTAGTTTGATAGGATTATTTTGAGTAGTGACGACGAGGTTTTCGGTTTATTTTCTGCAATATGTAATTCTTCATATAGCGGAATTCGTTCGTCTTGTTATTATTGTGTATCTGGTTGCAGTAAAATATGTTGATGTTTTGTTGTCTGGTATTTTTATTACTGGCGTCGTATTATTTTTTGTAAGAATAATATTATTTTTTATCACTAATGCAGTTGGGATAATTACTGTTGACTAATGCTTGTTTTACGTGTTATAGGTCGCTCAAAAATATCCTTTGCGAAGATGAATTTGGGTGTGCTCTATTTAAGGAGTTTTTTTTTCCACTGCCATTTTATATCTTTCCGGGCATTGGCAATCAGAGTTTAGAATACAAGAGTTCGTAGTGGTATTTCTTTTTTAAAGGGGTAGGTGGTAAATACTTTGGATTTTAGTTCTATATCAACATCAAGGAATGGGGATTTGTTATTACCCATGAGTTCATCTGTAAATTTTAGCAAAGAGTTTTTTTTTTTCAAAAGTTGATTTTAGATTTATAATTTCATTCATTTTGTTTTTATTAAAAAACATAGATATCAACGTACCTTGTGTAGATTTGTGGTTTGTTCAGTTATGTACCATGCGTGATACAATCGTAGCCAGTCATAGATATTTCGATACATGACTGACGAGGCATTTTTTTCCCGCTGTAAGTTGCTATTTCTTTCTGCGGTAGACTAGTTGCCATCCAAGGCTAAAGAACCCTGTCTGTCCTGCTATTTACCCATAGCTAGAGGGAGAAGAGGATTCATAACTTTCCCAAGGGTATTACCACGTAAGTGAATGTAATGGATCCGAGCCGTTATCCATTACTTCACCTTGACTCCTCTAGATTTGTTTTGTTATTTATTTCAAATACTTTGTTTTCAATATGAGACATGTACACATTGTAGGAAGCAGGACCTAATGGGTTTCCTGTTCATACACACACCATATATGGGTGTATAAAAAACAGTTAAATAGATCAATGTCTGATCCTAACCCCTTCCTCCTCTATATTAATTATTGTAATAAAAATAAAACTAAATTTTAAAACTCACCCTTCCCTCTCTAAACTCGACCAATGTCTCTCACACTATTTCTCACCACCCTCTATGTCAACTTATATAAGCTTAATACTGCCCGTCAAAAGTGTAAATTTTAAATTCATTTTTCGTTTCACCTCTGAACGTGTAGTCTGAAGATACAGTAAAAAATAAAATTCCCTGGTGAAATAAATTATAACAAATGTTTCTTTAAAGTGGTCTGTTTTTCTTTAAATTAAATTATTCGCTCTGACTTAACATTGAGCTCTCAGAATTTTATCCTCCTTGGGATTATCCATACGGATTATCAAGATTTTCGTTACTAACTATATATATATATATATATATATATATATATATATATATAATTATTTATTTAAAAACAGGATTCCATCGCTACATAAGAGTTCTCAAGTTTCAAAACAAGAGCTGAAAACTTCAATATAATTATTTGAATTAAATTGAATTAAATAACTGCTCTAGCCGTTACCATAGTAATTTTAATTTTAATAATAAATATGCATATAAAAACGCGTAAATTTCAAGAATTAGTCATTCCAAAAAAAATTTCGCTTGAAGATGGAACAGAGCTTGGTACTTTAATATAATTTATCATCCAAAAAGAAAAAAAATATTAGATCGCATGAGAAATTGTATAAAAACTAAATAAAAGCACCTTGTCTGTCGTTTTTACTGAAATGTGCATATATATATATATATATATATATATATATATATATATATATATATATATATATGCAGCGTCCGTAAATATGATTTTTAAAGGAACATTACTATTTCTAATTTTACTTTTATCTTCAACTGTAAGTTTGAGTCTAAATTTAAATTCAAAATTAAATTATAATGCAATTAAATATTTAACAACACTGATAATTCATCCAAACAACACGGCGAACTCGAGAAACCCAGAAATATTAACAAAACTTAAACAAAAATCAGTACCTGAAGACTGCACTAGGCGTGAAACTACAAGTAGTACTGTCGGGATGGGGGATTATTATTATTAATATATACGTTGAATTAATGGAGTAATGATTAGCGGATCGGATTGAGAAATCGGAGCACCGATTTCGAATTCCAGTCATAACCATTACATTCACTTACGTGCTGTTTTTCACCCTTTAGTTATGGGTAAATAGCAGGCAAACCGGGTTTTGTAGCTTTGAATGGCAACTGGTCTACCGCAGACAGATATAGCAACCTACTTCAGGGAAAAATCTGCTTCGTCAGTCAAATATAGAAAGATACATGATCGCCTCAGCCTGTATCACACATGGCACATAACTGGCTAATATATATATATATATATATATATATATATATATATATATATATATATATATGAGTGATAGAAATTAGTTAGATTTGAGATAATTATAATTAAGTATTTATCGAGTTTGAAAAAACCTCAACAGAATGCAGAAAGCACTGGACAGCCGTTTCGTCTTATATTTGGGAGTCATCAGCAGTGCGCATCCACTACCGAGAATTGAACCCCGGGGTTTGTCTGATGAGTCCTAAATATAGGACGAAACGGCCGTCCAGTGCTTTCTGCATTCTGTTGAGGTTTCTTCTAGACTCGACGAATTACATAATTTTATATAATAATAATAATAATAATAATAATAATAATGGACTCTCCCGTCGGTATGACGATCTGACAGCTTATTGATTCAGTTATCAAAGTTTGTGCGATAATCTTAAGTGGCATTTAAGACCCATAATCATATATATATATATATATATATATATATATATATATATATATATATATAATATATCTATCCATTCAGATAGATAGATAGATAGATAAGTTCATTCTTTAATCCTTTAAAAGAAATCTATGCCTGTATTGCATTTACGCGTTATATGTACCGGAGAAAAGTGATCTCAGTGCCATGGGGCTATTGCTGGTGTTTTGCACAAGTGAACGAAAATAAAGAGTATATAAAACGTCACTGGTCTATTTCATTTACTGACAAACACCCAGCTTCGTTGAAATGTTATATTTTGAAATCATCGCATCTATTCAATCGTGACTTTTTTTTATCTTGTCCGATTTCAATGCCTTGATTGCAGAAAGTCGAGCCGAGTCTTTGATGCCAAACACCCCAGTCAATGATTGTAAGCGAGAATCGGTTAGGCTTCGATGGAGAGTAAGGAGATATCACTTCGCAAAACCAATATTTGTCAGGAACAGTGAAGTGTAAATTGAACACTCTAATCACAGGCACACGATGAAGAAAAGTTGGGGAAATTATTTATTTCAGCTTAGACAATCTATCTATCTATCTATCTATTCCAATCTGTTCATATCTGTTCATATCTATCTATCTATCTATCTATCTATTCCAATCTGTTCATATCTATCTATCTATCTATCTATCTATTCCAATCTGTTCATATCTATCTATCTATCTATCTATCTATTCCAATCTGTTCATATCTATCTATCTATCTATCTATCTATCTAACCATTTTTTCTATCTGTTCAAATATCTTTCCCAGCAATCTGATTTCTACCTATCTATTTTTATGTATATGCTTCTACTTGTCCATCTTTCTCTTTTATCATTCACAGATCTAATTTTATTTATCGATCAATCGATCGACCCTTGTTTCTTTCCATCGAACTGTCCAACTACATTTCTAAGCATTCAGATAGCCATCTGTTTGTTCAAGTGTCTACCTTTTATCGCATTCTGATAGATATATCTATGTAGCGATGTCTACTCAAACATATTTACCCAGTACATGTAACGTTTATAAGGACAAGAAATATCTTTCGATTCCAGTTTGTTCATCTATCTATCTATCTATCTGACTGACTGACTGTTTTTGTTTCTATCTAACCAACTGTCACTCTATTTTTCTCACCTTTTTGATATCTGTCTGTCAATGGTCTGCGCATACCTGTCTAGTTATCTCTATACATATGCATATAAATTTGTGTGTGCCTGTATATATATATATATATATATATATATATATATATATATATATAATAATAATAATAATAATAAACGGAGCATCCAATCAAATATAGGTATCCACTAAAAATAAGGTTTACTTAATAAAATCTGTTGCATTAATAAATAAAAGTCCCTCATTTCTTTAGATCTTTAGATATCGCGCTTAGTTTAAGTGAGAATACGACACTGAGTAGATATAAATGCGTCGAGAATCATGGCAAGATTTGTGTTTATAATGCACTCTTCAACTTTGATTACCGATGCACTTCGTGGCTGAGACGATCTAAAGACGGTTTCTACTGGCATGTAGTACGCAGGTTCGAATTTTGCCGAAGAGTGTATGTCTTCTTCAATAAGAATCCTCGAATATTCAGTTTGTTATACGAAAATAAATAAATATGCTTTTTAATAAAAGAAAAACATAGTCTCTACTCAAATATGTGCATCCATTAAAAATATGGTTTAATGATAATTTTTTTCGATATTTAATTTAAAAAAGCTTAACATTTGCAAGGACTAATAGGAAATGAATATAGTCTGGCAGACTGTTACACTCATTCAGCTAATAAAGAGAAATAACGCTTTTGAAATGAGGTGACATAAAGCTTTCAAACAGGTATTTATACTCTACACGCCAGATTATAGTGATTTACTAAGTAAAGCTTTGATGTGACATAAGGCGGAATATAATGGAACATCCAGTCTGACTCGAACTCACTATTTAGTCATAATTAACCTAGAAAGACCAGCTTGCTATGCATTACACTAAGTTCCTCCGATTATGGCTGAAAAACAGCATATCTTGATTTAAAAAGGTCCCAAAATTAATAAAAACAGAGTTTTATCGTCAAAATGTTTATGTTATTAGTAAGAGGTTGAACCAATGTATTTTTATTAACTTTTTTTAATTCTTTCTAGCACGTTCGAAATTTTGTTTAAAAATGTTTTTTTTTGTTTTTTTGGGGTTTTTTTTTTTCGTCAGCAGACGACTCACATTTTACGATTAGATTTTTAACTCTTTTATTCGTTTGAAAAACACACTGATTTGGAACTTCTTGCAAGCATCAATAATTGTTGGATTTTAATGAAACTTACAGGACGGATTCAAAAATGAATGAAATTGACTACTACTCATTTCCGAAAATCAACTCCGAATCGTAAAATATAAAAATGCAATGAAATTATGACATTTAATTAGAAACAAGAACATTCAATTGCTTTTATACATAAGATTTCTTAAGGACAATATTGTCTTTAGAAACATTTTTTTCAATGAATAATGAATTTTAACAAAAATTGTTTAAATTTTTAAAAACTGTTAATTATTATAATTTATAATATATAAAGCTTTTGAATTACTTTTATCCGGTTAAGTGATATTGTTATTAAGTGAAAACTATATTTACTAATCAAAAATTGAAAAGCTTAATAAAAATAATTTTGAACCAAGATTTTAAAAATATTTTTTAATTTTTTATGCTCATAAAATATTATGTAACGTGCCCATTTTTGAAAATATGGTCGACCATACACGACATTATCAGAAAATAAGGGCAAAGACCATAGTAAAAGTCAACATTCCTAAAATTAGATTACTGAAAATATTTTGCAATATTTTTTAAGATTACTGAGTACTTAAAATTTATGTCAAAAAGCGCTAACGTTATTTGCTTAAATTATATTTTACAGATAAAGTCTCCGTAGAAAATAGTCATCATCACCTGTTATCGCTTCTTCAATTATATAAAACATGGCAATGTCGGTTAAAACACATCTGTTTTGTTTTAAAAATACATTTATATGTTATTTAAAAACTTAAAGTAAATATTTTTTTTCAAATTAATTATATTTTAAATCTGCTAATATTCCTCAGATAAAGTTTCAGAAAAGTATATTTTATTTATGGAAGATTTTTTTAATAACGAAAATTACATTGCGATGAATGACCACTAAAAAGGGAGTTAATCAGCTATTTTCTCCAAAAAATAAAAAAAATGATCCCAATCAATTTAATTTCTGTTTGAAATACACCAGAGAATTTTTCTTACTTAAAATAGTAAATTTAATTATTTAGTTTTCAATTAAAGCTAAAATGAAAGCTTCAAGAAAGCTTTTTCCAATTACCAAAATTCATTTTAAGCCTGAGATATCGAAGAATTGTGGAGGTACCTACATTGTACGAAGCCGAAGTGCCCCCACCTTGAGATGGATTATATTGTGCAAATATTTCAGACTACAATTCAGATTTCAATTCCTTTTTTGCTGCGTCTTTGTCCTTCTACTTAACGAAATCATCTCCACCTCGCATATATACACGAGCCTCATTAACCGAATAGTACCCACTTTTATTAATTGTATTGTCGTCTCTCTCTCTCTCTCTATATATATATATATATATATATATAAATAACAGGGATGCCATTTTATTAATCAAACCTTTTTTTTTATATAGACATACAGCACCTGAGATATCTTTCGGCCAACACTTATTACATTCATATGTAACGCGTTACTTATAAATAAGTGTTGGCCGAAAGATATCTCAGGTATTGTATGTCTTTAAAAAAAGGTTTGATTAATAAAATGGCGTCCCTGTTATTTAAATCTATTCTGAGGTTCTGTGGGTACAAATCTATATATATATATATATATATATATATATATATATATATAGGTCGCCGCACTGGATAGGTCGCATTCCTAATTTATGGATAATAATTGATGATTTACTGTTAACACGCAAGTTAATCGTAACATAATCTGGGGAGTAACACTGCCGTTTTTAAACCTAAGAATTATAAGATTTCTACCTTTATTTCTACCTTTATTTCAAAACTTATAGTTATTAATACACTTTTGCAGTTAAAATACATTACGTCAATCATAATGTAAACAAAAGGAAGGAACTGCTGTACCGGTATTTTTATATTTACCGCATATTATTTTATTAACGAGTCAACTCGACAAAACAAAAGGAAAGAAATACAGAAGAAAATGTTATGGTACATTTAGAAAAAAATGTTTATCTATTTATATATTAAGTTACAGTTTCAAAATTCATTCAGAACTCTTCTTACAGACTTCTTCTTCTTCTTCTTCTTCTTCTTCTATGTGCCACGTCCCTTCAATACATATTCTGTCATGGTCCTCAACAACTTCCTATATTGTGTGGCTCTTAACAGTTTTTCTCAATTTGATCAGGCTCTAGCCCCCGTTCCGCTGCCTTCACCCGTCTGCCTTGGCCTAAAAATTTTCAAGCCTTCCTCCTTGTCCAAGGAATTTCATCTGTCTTATCTTGATTCTGTGCAAAAGTGTTCTTTCTGAAGCCATTGTTTGAAATAATTTCCGTCTTGATTACTCGCTCTGTCCAAGGAATTTTCAGTTAGTATATTTCTGCTGCTTCGTGTTTTCTTCTCATCCGTGCAGGGGTTGCTTAGCATTCACTGTCATATAAATGAACGGATGTCGCATAGAAATCCCGAATTGTTCTCTTTGTTGCTAAGGAAATGTTTCCGTTACTTAGAACCTTACTTAACTTTTGGAACACATCTTGCGCTAGATCAATGCTTGTTCGGTCTCGGTGTCATGTATTCCATCCTCTAGCCGGAAAAAGAAATGTAAAACTCGGCTGAAACTGTTAAATCGCTTGAGTTGCACAATCTGCCATAGGCGTGTGAGTTTCTTAACTTATTTTATTTTTTATTTACTTTTTAATTATAACTCTTTCATGCCGTCTGCCGCGCTAAAATATGGCGGTCAGAACTAAGGAGTTAAACATTTAAATATTATTCTAAACATTAATTTGTTTTTAGGGATTAAATACTAACATTTGGTAGGAAATTATGATTGAATAAATAAACGAAATCTACAAATAATTATAAAATGAAAAAATAAAAATAAAGTGAAATATTTAGTTAACTAAAATATTTGTTCGTTAAGTAGCAATTTACTTAGCCGAATGGACATTTTCGTCACCTCAATATATAAATAGAAATAAGTAAAAATATTTTCAGTGACCTCATTCATTTTCTAGACTATGCATTGAACCATGAATAAATTCTGATATTATATTTGTCATCATTGGAAAGGTTATTTTATTTAGATTAACGTACCAAAATCTTTCCTTTGGGAAAGAGCAATAACAGTTAGTGGGCATAATTGTTGCTTAGACATAAGACAACCGATACTATTACTATTATCTTTATCTAAATCGGTATCACCCCGTGTAGGGCATTAAAGCCTCTAAGAGACAAAGGTTTACGGCGTGTAGAAGAATAAACACAGACTCATTCATAATGAGTATGAAGTGGAAAGAGTAATCAGATAGACAGTAGATAGCGATGGCCATAAATTTTTGTAGATTAAACTTGGATGGAAAGCATAGAGTCAGAAGGGAGTTCTATAAGCGATAAGTGGGAGAATAGAAGCTGTTAGCATAGAAGTTATGGCGACATCTAGCCAGCTCAGCTAGGAACTGATAAGATCTCAAGGCCAATCTAGTACTGTGCTTAAATTAAAAAAAAAAGTTTAGGTACCATAGGTCAGAGCCATATTTATTTCCGCTTCAAATGCAGAATATGTGGCCCAAGACCAAAACAGGGAAATTGGGGAAACAAAACGGTCTTCTTCTGTCTTAAACGTTAAACTTAGCTAACCACAAACACTGACCCAAACGTACAACAATATTCCTTAAACCAAAACAACGCATTGTTACTTACCTTTCTTACTACATCCACCATAATACCGCATTGTCTCTATGAAAGTCCTGACTAAATCCTATATATACAATTCATTGTCTGTTGGGGGGAGGTTAAAACAAAAAATTAAAAACTAGCCCCAATAGGTAATAGCT